AGCAGTTAGAGCAGTCCCAACTACAGCTAAACCCAGATAGAATTTCCAAATCCACCTTTTCCACCTTCAAACTTCCAACAGCCATCTCCAACTGGAACCATATGTTTTCCACCCTGAGGCCAGATGCCCATCTGCAGCCCCCTGTTGACTGGCTGTGATTAACCCTGCTAATCTCACTGAGGTCCCTGTTCTGTAGTTTGGCTGACAGCTCATAGTACCAGCATACAAGCAGTCTTATTTAGGGAGTTTCTGCCTTCTTGGCTGCAGGATCTGAGCTGTTATAAAACAGATTGCAAAAATACCATCAAAACAAAAGACAAGAATGGAAAATTAAAGGGAAGATCTCAGAAACCTCCCAGACGGACACTATTGCAATTGCTGCACTTCACCATTACCTAAACACTCGCTTACTAGCATGTTTTACCAGTAAAATTCTCTCAAACATGAAAATATGTATACATTACCACCCCTTGCAACCTTACATACTTTCAACAAAGTACAGCTCTATCACCGTCAAATAAAAACAATTGATAACACTCAAACTCTACTGCCAAAATTCTCCTACTTGATGATCAGAAGGCATAACTGCTAATTAGAATCGAGGTTCAAGGCACGCAAGAAAAATACTTCTCAGCTTCAAGAATTTCTGCACTTTAGACGACCATTATATTTCTGATCAAGACATTCAAGGCAGACCTCTGGAATTCCTCAGCAATTCATCCATTCTCAGAAGCCAACCTGTTCTGGTAATGCCTCCCATCATGCAGTAATTTTTAACCGACCATATGTGAACTATTCCAGATATGAACAAAAGTTGTGAACAAAAGCAGAGAAGATGCACCTGAAAAACATAAGAAAGGCTCATGAAGGGGAAATGGAATTCGTGATTTCTAAAATGCTTGAGCAATTCTGGGATCAAGACACCCTTTAACATAAGGATTTACTCCTGATTTGTTCTGAATCACTTGTGCTCCCTCTGGGGGTTTGCAGACACCCATATGTAGGCATTTGCTGGATGCTTGTCAGAGGTGGTATGAGTAATTCCTTCCTGTCTCATAGGGCTTGGTGGCCATCCAAAAAACAAGAGAATTAGAAGGGGGAAAGAATGTGTGAGTCACAAGGGGATTTTCAATTTGTAAATGGCATTTGTAAGGCTCGTGTTGAAATACATCATCCAATTCTGACATCCAGATTTTAGAGAGGCTGTTATGGGTGTGGGGGAATGAGTAAAGGTGCAAAGATAATGGATTCAGAAGATAGAAAGATATACAGCAGGAGACTGAAACATTTTAGTTCACTTAAGATATCAAGGTGATTTTGATGACTTGATGACCTAATTTTTAAGAACTTTCCACAGGAGAAAGATAGTAGTACTTACTAAGACTGGTTCATGAAACTCTACCATGAGGTAGAGTAATACACATTAATTTGGTAGATTTTTAGCATATGGGATGACAAATCATTACAATAAGCCACCATCATGGCTCAAGAAAATGCTTGAGCCCATGGGCATCTTGAATCTGGGCATCTTCTAAAATATTTACCTCCATCAAGTTACTGAGCTTTGGAGATGGATAGCATATAAAGTTCATATTCAGGGAAGAGAGCTATTTATCTAATGGCCCTTCTTGGTCCTAAAATTCATAGATATTTTAGGAGATAAGTACAGTGTGCTGTGGTGTGGCTCCTTGTTATGCTTCTGAAATCAAGTCCCTCAACCAAACACAATTCTGAAGGCTACATATGCTGGGGGAAGAGTAAAGCATTCTTCCATCACCAAGCAAAGTGGTATCCTTGGTGTCCTGTGACTTTTCTCTCCCATGAAAGCTTGTACATTAATAACACTCTGCATTGAGGTTTGTCAAAACAATATCCCAAATCCCTTCTGGGACATAAACTAACATAGGCAGTTTCAGGATGCAGTTCAGGTTTTCAGCAAACCATCTGTTGTTTAAACAAAACTAAAAACTTGCACATATTGAGGCAATTTCTAATTCAGGCTACATCTTAAGCTTTAACTACTTGACAACAAAGAAAAACACCTTAGCATTTAAAACTCACAAAATATTACCAGGAACATTCCAGATCCCCTGGATAAAAGTGAACATTGTCACCTCAGGTTTGTTTCAATGCAGATGTGAGTTTTCATAAAATTTCAGTATATACTTACACAGGCAAATATAGATACCTCAGATATCACTGAGAATAACAGAGGTAATTCATTACCACATACAGTTTTTTCATGTCTGTCCTTACTTTTTCCTGTGGTTCTATTAAGAACAATGCAGAATGCTTGTATACAGTCTAACAGGAACATCAAGGTTCATTACAGCAACTCCCCTATGAAATCTCTGATGAGAAGTACAGAAATTATTATCTCAGCATCTTTATATTTATTGAGAAATACAGATTAGCAAAGAATGAAGTAGCACAGTTATTTTGCTGAAACAACAAAAATCTTTTCTTAAAGCATTTTGGTTATTTTTGTTCACACAAAAAAGTTCTGTGTACTTCAACAGTGTTTGATCATATTACTCACAGGAATTTTTTCCCATTTATTTTAGGAATGCAGAGCATATATACAATGCTCTATATATAATAAATCAAAAATATATACAATAATATTTAGTCCACGTGTTCTTCTATAAATATACCCGCACGTAAGTAGCATTCATTCCTAGCTATCTGATCACAGTATATTTAAAATTATTATCATCTGCAAGGTAAATGCATGTTTTTGTACCTATTCTCAATCTAAAAATTACTTTCATTTTCATAAATTCCACACATGTTCAATGAGAAAATGTAACTGCAGAAATAGAGATCTCTTCCAAATCCAGTAGAAAATTCAAAAATTACCTTATTTCGTCAAGACTGGGTAACTATGACTTTAAAAGGTCTGAAGACTTTTCTTACCCTCTGTGATCAAATGATCATAATTCTCTCACAAGTACTTATATTCTTGAATTATTTTCTTTACACTTGTGGATGTGATTTTTTTACCCTAACTTAATCACAAAAGAGGTAGATCAACTGGAGAAAGTACAGAGGAGCTTAACAAATGGGATCAGAAGTCTAGAAAGTATGTTCTACTGAAAGAAATTTGTTTGTTTAGTCTAAAAAAGAGAAGACTGTGAAAAGATATGATAACAGTCTTCAACTATGTAAAAGGTTGTTGCAATAAGCGTTCTTCCTGCCCACAGGGGATAGAGCAAGAAGCAAGGAGCTTAAATTAGAGCAAACATGACTTACAGATCATGAAAGACATTTTATGGGATCCTGGAAACCTAAGTTTCAAGATTTAAAAGCTTATCTACTTAAAAATTACGTTAAATATATATGTGTGTGTGTGCAGCAATAAGCAAATTTACTGACTAGTATTTAGTGTAGCACAAATAGAAAAGAGATTCAGTGTGGTGGACCACAACATTTGTCCATGTGGAGACCAGGGCAAAACCACCAAGTGCTGACAGCAGAAGCTCAATGATATGGATTCATTTCTTCTACCACAATGGCCAAACACTGAAGATCTTTGCTGCACAATTACTTGATAACTTTTACTTTTGTTTAAGGCTATTTCAATTTCCACTTTGTTGTGATTTAGTTCAGTTCAAGCACAAGGATGTAATTTTAAAAGTCTAAGAATAATTCTGACTTGGTCAGAGGAACTGAAAAGGAAAAATAACAAATACACAATAAGGGAGCTGTTCTCCTGACATCACAAGTTAAAGTAAATTACTCTGATGTGAAGAAAAAAAAAGCATTTCCCCCTTTTTCCCTTCAGTGTTGCTTATTACTGACCTCTGGCTCTAACCACTCATTCTTTTAAAAATCATTTCAGAGTGTGTGGACAAATAGAAATATGAGTAACTATTAACTAATCATTGTCATTCAAATAATTCCATCATGTCTACCCCTCCATCATTCTTTCACTTTTTCCCTTCAAGGGGGGAAGATTCTGAGCTGAATGCTGGAAGTCCTATTTAACTCACCTCAGTACTAGTCATGCAACAAAACAGGCAATAATCATACCTTGTGATATGATGTAAAACTGTTCCACTATGTTACCTTCAGTAAAACAGGCAACAGAAATTTTTGTGCTTATGTACCACCTGAAGATTTTAAAAGCTATAGAAACCTAAATAAAGCACAGTACTTCGCCAGTTTTCTGCTTAAAAGGAAGAAATCTTTTATTTTCTTCTCTGAATCTTAGATACTGAATAGTACCTGTATTTTTTGCAGAATTACAATTACTTCTTACTCATTTTAAGAGATGTTGAACAAAGCAAAATAAAAAAAACATCCATTCCACAAAGTGACAGGCATTCAAGGAAAGAATTATCTCTGTCACAGTAATTAACACTTGTTTTGTTAGATGCCCTTTACTCCACTAGCCTTTTTAACCACAACAAGTCTGTGAACAAAACCATTCTGTGTACGATTCAAAGCCCTGCTTTGTTGACAGACACATAATGTCTCATCAAGGAAACATTCCTTTTCAATACCGGCTCTCAGAAGACATCTAGCATCTTTAAGGAACTGAGATTTGAACTGAACCATCTGGCTAATAATGGAGCACTAAATTAAGATTAATAAATCAATCAGCAGGAATTAATCATCTGACACGGAATTCTCAAAAATGCCTTGGATAAGAGGAGAGATATGCATAGCCTGAAAGATTGATCATCTTGATCCAATATGGATTTTTAAATTGAATATCTTGCTACCACCATGGTCAGATATACGTAAAGCAAGGATGATACAGAAACGCTTTGCTTTTCCTGATTAATGTTGGGCTAAGTAACAACATCTTTATACCTGCTAGAAGCATTCACCAAGTACAGAGCTAAAACTATGTGGGAGAGCACAACAACTGCTAATGAAAACCCAGTAAACGTCATTGTCCCAGACTCAGGCTGGAATCTCAAGTACTTTCAGTTTCCTCAAGACGGAATATAAAGAGCAAGGAGTAAAGGTGACTCACTGGAGCAGGTTATTACCTTGAATGCTCCTTTTGAAGAAGGCCTTGCAGCCCTCGCAGGACCAGACCCCGTAGTGGTAGCCCGAGGCGTAGTCGTTGCAGACGGCGCAGTACCGCGTCTCCTTGGTGGACTCCATGGCCAGGCTCCCCTTCTCGCTGCTGCTGGACATCCTCTCCCGGATGCTGTGCCGCCTGTTGTCGGAGCTCGGCCTGTCGAGAGCAGAAAAAAATAAAAAATAAAAAGAAAAACAAGCGCAGTTCTTTCAGGGAGGTCAAGCTTCATCCTCTGCTTCAGGTTGTAAAAATAAAAAACCATGCTTGCTTGAAAACAACTGATAGATAAAAATAAGAAAGAAATTTTCTACTGCTCTCTCTCCTAGTTGAAAAGTTGCAGAATTAGTAAGACACAGAGCAATTTCTTATACATCTGCCTGAAGTTATTGGCTATTTTACCTTGAAAAATATTTTTTAAAAAATTGATAAATTAACCAAATATTTGTTAAATTAAACAAATTTTCAGCAACACAAAGAAATACCAAAAAAAACAGCACTATTTTGTGTACCTGCTCTCATCCAAAGGTTTCAGCACAACTGTAATATCGTAGTTAGGTTGAGAATCTGAGCCGAAAAACACTTACGACTGCACCTGAATTAGTTTAATTATTAACTTAAATTATTATATTATATAAACCTAAGTTATTAACCAAGCTGTTTTCAAGTGTTATTGCCCAATTAGAGATGCAAGCTTTCCTTCACTTGTCAAGATCTAATACTGCATGAAAAAGTGCCTTTTCTCATTACAATACCACCTTCATAAAAATTAGGCTGTTTCAGTACAACAAAAAACAAGCATATTTAAAAAAACAAACGTAAAAAATTGTTGCCAAAGAACTTTTTTTCCAGTGACACAGACATTACTGGACATGTACTAGACATGCACATGGCCAGCATGTGCAGGATGCCGTGCAGGTGACAACCAAACAGATCTATCTGTAAATGGCAAGGAATTCACACCCACTGAACCTGGTAAGAGGTTATTATGGGCAGCTGCTGCGGGTGTGGTGCACAAAGCTGAGAGGATGTGAAATTGCCAAGGGAGCCACCAGTGAACTCTGGGACTGCCCCTGGAAGGCAAACGGTTCTTTGCAAAACATGCTTTCCAGTAAGAGTCTGCGCTAAAAATTGTCCAGGAGACAAATACCATTGGGTGTGACAGCACCAGACAAGCTAAAGCATGAAGAATCCTACTGTTTATAGTAATTATCCACTTACATGCACGCTTTAATTGCTGGTCAGTAAATAGGGGGCTTTGTCTCCCCAGAGTCTCAATATTTTCGCAAAGAACCATATCCTGGTTTTGAGCCTAGGAAAATCTTTCAGATTTCTTCCTACATACCTAATTTGCCTTATTCCCTTCTTGAGAGCAGCAAACTTGCTATGCTTTGATGAACCGAGACATTTGGCACCAACCAAACCTTCCTGCTCCAAACCTGTACTCCCCAGCAGCTTTCTGATTTCCGTTGGTATGCTGTAATATCTCATCCAGCCTAAGTTCCCTGACATCTCCTGCTGCAGTACCTCTCCACTGCTTTCTACCAGCCAAAGGCACCTGGACATTCTCACATGTGCTCTCAGCCATCCCCTCAAGACTTTATATATATATATTTAATTTCTGTCCCCAAATATTATATTAATTCAAAGCTTTTAAATGAAAATATATCAGTTATTAGAGCAACATGAGGCTTTACCAAGTTAGCAGAAACTGCTACTGGCAGCATTCAGGAAAACTGCATTTTTTAAACCCAATGTTCTTTGCCAAGACTTATATATCAGCTAATTTTGAACATTTACTTAAATAACCTTTTCCTTTTGCTTGGAACTTGTGCAGAAGGGAAGAACTGTAAAGGGTGAAGGACTGACATGACACATCTCTGGTTTTTAGTGAGACAGGAAAATTGGAGAATGTCGCAATTGACAACATGATTCTATGAAACTAGGCAGGGGAAAAAGTCCTTGAATATTTATGTTAACATGATGTTAACATGAATGATTATGTTAACATGTTGTTAACATAATAGATGTTAACATGAAAAAGATTAAAAATTTCAAATGTACCAAAATTAATACAGTATCATTAATCAATCATTATGGATACAACACACACATTGTACATATAACTCACCTTTTATCTTTTCCAGCCCAACAAACCTAGCTAATATTTTTATTCTTCTCAAGATCCTGAACCTTCCTTTGAATTTGCTTTATCCCAGTGCCTCATTTAATTGACTTCCTTTTTTTCTCTACTAAGTATGATCAAAGCTGTTGTTTCTTGTCTTCTCCACCCCATTCTCATCTGTCTGCAGCTTTATCACCTCTGTCAGTGCAAGTTTAAATAAACCATGTTGTGGCTTCTTTAAAATACATACTCTTAGGTGCACATAACCACAAGAATGTTTCAAGTATTTTAAGTAATCCAGCAATCAATCTAATAACCATCAATATAATTTTAACAGCCATAGACTAATCCATTAGGTATATGTGATGACTTATAGATATTCATAATTTTTGACAATTTTTTTTAACTGATACAAATATGCATGTTATAGAAGATAAGGTTCCCAGAATTATTTTCATATCAATAAGAGTAAAAAAATCAAAACTTTGCACTTTAAAAACAGTATAAGAAAAAAATTTGAAGTTTCAAAACAATTACATATTTTTACAGGTGTGTAGCAGTTTTCCAATATTACAGGCTTACTAAAGCAATCCTAGTTTCCCAGTTTGATACAAAAGAAAACCCTTTCATAGGTAAAACCAAAATTAAGAAATACCAAAAAGTATCAGTCATCACCGATCTATCAGTCCAGGTAAATTAAATTTTCATTTTTTCTGAATAGCAATCCTTTTTCAGATCAAGCCTAGGTTTGCAAGCACATTTTTATTGAAGTTATACTTGAGAAAGATTAAAAATTGCTCAAAAAATACCATCGCCTCTCTGCACACAAGCTTACAACATGGAGAGAGCACTATGAATCTGTCAACACAGGCTTTCACAAGGCAGAAGGAATCTAAAGATGACCTTGCTGCTTCCCACCCTCAGAATCAGTCCCACTCCAGTGGCATTTGAGCAAGGTTTTGCAAACTGGCCCTGCAGAGTCATCACATTCAGGCTTTGGTGAACCACAGTGGGAAGCACACTAAAATACCCTTAGCCCCATATTCCCCAAAAATAACATTCTTTCCATTTATATATAGTAGAAATAAAAGCTGGTAATAAATTAAGTAATTATTAGAGGAGGTGAGGAGAAAAACTTTTTGTGAAAAGAGGATCCCAATCATAGAGATTGCTAAATCAAAATAACATATCAGATTTCATCCAGAAACCAGCTGCTGGTTAGTGTACATCACAGACCACTGGTGCTGTGTCCTGACAAAAAAAAAAAACAACCCATAACAGTCCACTCTCCATCAAGTTTTCAGTTAGGTTTCAAGGGCTGGTCTTCTGGAGAACATAGTACAACAACCTGACCCAGCTTAATGACTTTGGAAAGATCATCATTCCCAAAATATAAGAGCAGAACCTTTTCTGCAATTCCCTTTGTAACCTATGCAAACAACTACAAAAAAATAAAAGACCAAAAGATCTTGCCAACTATGTTTACCGAAAAAACCCACAAATCAGAAAGAAAGAAAATCCCAGATAAAGCCCTCTCTCCAAGGCCTGCACAAAACCAGAACAGATTAGAAATCGAAAAAACCCAGAATTTACTGCACATTTCCAAATGTAATAACAGAGCAGAGATAAAATGGAAAGTGTTTGGAACCCACAGAGCAGAAGAAACTTGTCTCCCACACTCCCTTTCCTGTTTCACACTTTGATGAGTGTGTAAGGAAACAACACACCTCTGCTTTATACATTCAGTCATCATCTGCAGCTCTGAATCAGAAAGAGATTATTAAACCTACATTAACTGCAAAGTAAAAAAGAAGTGTGCATGAGACAATTACAGTTTTATAATGTAAACTCAGGTTTTTTACATCAGGAGAATCTGACTGGCAGGCAGAATGAATTTAGGATGGTCCAAAGTACACTATCCTCATAACAGTGATGTGAAGCCAAATTTATTCAGAACACCATCTTTACCTGAAAAAAAAGAGGTTTTGGTGTAGGAGGACTTAAGGGGGAAATTATACAAATAGTTAAAGACACCTTGAGAAATTCCAGTTTTCTGGATTCAAACACAAAACTTTAATCTGCTTTCCAGAATGGATGAAATCTCCCAGGGTAAGGTGCCTCAAAACTAATGGTTATTTCAAAAGCAGTCAAGGTCTAGTACAAATGCTTTTCCACACATTGGACTTATAAGGACACCAGCCTGCCGTTCCCTATGAAATTAATCTGCTGTTAAAATGTAAACTTCTGTATGGGGCAAAATACTTATGAAATACTTTTTGAACATATCTAAGTGCTTCAAAACACTTAGAAGGCATCTCAAGGAGAAGTACTGCAATAGGATTGAGCAAGTATATAAATAAATAGAGAAAACTGACAAATATATTAAAGGCCTCAAAACTGCATTCTCAAAAAGTAACCCCAATGAATCTGAAAAAAAAAAACATGTGCCATGCAAATGAACGTATTGGCTTAAAAAAAGACTAAAAATATCTAGGGTTGTAATTAAGCTAAGTACAACCTCACAAGAGAGAGAATGCCTAACATGAAGTTGTATCTCAAATGGACAGAATCACAGGATATTTTAGGCCAGATGGAACTTTGGGACATGATCATGCACCAAGCCAGCACAAGAGAGGCTACAGCCATGAAGGTGGGCTCCAGCAATGGGAGCAGAAACTGGCATCACTCCTTGCCTGATACTCCATTGGTGATGAAGATCAGCAAGGGCTCACCCTGAGACCTCATTGTCAATCATTCCTGATCCATGGCTCTGAGCACATGCAACTCACTCTACTAAATTCTTTTCCTCCCAAAACAGGACGGTTTTGTTTACGACACCAGAGGAGAACTCTTGCATAGCTCCTGACCCATGCCCTGGGAGAGGCTACTTAACCTGGCCAAACCCTGCCATTCAGCAGCGAGAGCCACCATGCTGATCTTTGCACCATGCCCTGACCTTGTCTAGGTAACAAAAATATATGCAGGACTTTCTTGCCCCACTATCTTCATTTTACTCCCTGATGATCAGCAATGC